TACTTAAAAAAAGGGAGGCATGCCATGAAGGCAGCGACCCGACAGATGGGTATGCGAGAAGGCAGCGACCAGGGGATGAGCACTTCATGAAGGCAGCGACCTGATATATTGATATGCCAAGGGCCATGTCGTTGAGGCAGCAACTCAACATATGGGTATGTCGAGGAGGTAGTGGACCGAGGATGGGCGAGCCGTTAAGGAAGTGACCCAGCAGATGAGTTTGCTAGGGAAGTAGTGACTAGAGGATATGCATGTCATGATGGCATCGACCAGACAGATAGGTATGCCGAAGAGGTAGTGGGCCAGAGATGGGTATGCCTTGAAGACAACGACCCGAGAGATGAGTATGTGAGAGGACACTCGGAGTGCAACTTAGACATATGATGATGACCATGCAAGATGTCATGCAAGACATATGGAACCAAAAATGTTGTGCTCGATCATCTGGGGTATAAGACTCCATTGAGGAGATATACTTCTTGCCCCAATAATGACCAAACATCATGCAAGCACGTACACATGCAATATGTTGCAAAAGCATACAACATGTGAGTGGTCGGTTAGACCAAAAAAAGCGGGTGGATCGATTCGTGGTAATAGATTCATTCTGAAATGTGGTGGTTGACTCAGAATGACTGATCAAAACTAAAGGATAGGGTGATCTCCCCGGGGCTACTGATCGAACCCAGAGCGAGTGATCGACACATAACGGTTGGTCAAACCTAGAAGATAGGGTGATCGACATGGGAAGGCCGATCAAACCCAAGATGGGTGATCGACACATGGAAGTTGATCAATCCCAAAAGATAGGGTCGTTAGCCTGGGACGACCGGTCGAACCTAAAAGAATATTTGTGACTGGCCTAGCCATTCGATCTGAAGTGCTCACATAGACATACATACAATGAAATAAATGAACACTTGCAAAAATGCAACAAAATGGTCCATGCATATGTGATGCAACCCAAAATGCTCAATAATGTGTCAAACTTGACCAAACGGCCTCACGTAGGTACCTAGGGTTGATGCTCTTGAATTTGTAGCATGGATGTCTCCAGCTTTTGCATTACAATGTGGAGGGCTTCCCCCTCTGATTTCTCATAGAGGAAGTTCTCCACAGTTTGTAAGGTAGACTAGCTACAAAGATTTTTCCATCCCTACGAAAACCCACAATCTTGTGGAATGGGCTAGCTAAAACGCTTTTCCCATTTCTCAAGATAGAACTCAAACAACCCCTTAAAAGGAGGTTGGGAGCGCCAAAGCCGTGGGAAATTGGAATTCCAAGCCAGTGGGATTAAGACCTATGGCTCACAAGGGGGAATCACTCGACTCCGAATAATATTGACCAATGCACATGATTCCTAAGCTAGAGCTAGCTCTAGGAAATCAACGGTCCAACACATAGGCGATGTGGCCATGCCGACTATCATTGGATGGTGCACTCACCCCATGTGGGTGAACGAATCCATGTGCCTAGACTCAACTAACCCTATGACCAACTAAGAATTGGAGAGTCTCACCATCATAACGGTTGCAGACACTTGTCTTCAAGTAGGAAGAAGCTCACTTATCAATAGGAGAGAAGCCCACATTTTGGGAACTCCAGCGGCGCTCCTGTGATACTCCGACAATCCTTCCCCAAGCTAGGAGGAAGCTATCCTCCAGTGTAGGAGAGTGGACACCTTGCTCCAAGATTCTCCTCAAGAAAACCCTCTCACACCTCACAAAATGTGGAAGAAGATGAAGAAGATTAGGAGGAAGAAGAGGGAGGCCAACACCCTTAGCCTTCTCCAAGAAACCCTCTTCAATGACCTCTCCAAAGCCTCTCCAAGCTTTCCAAAAGCTTTTCCCCAAGAGCTTTCTCTCAAGCTCTCACACCCTAGCCGAAGAAGAAAAAGGAGAAGGAGGTGGAGAAGGGGAGCGACGGAATCCCCCTCTCGGGAAACAATGAAGCTAGTAGAAAAATGAGAGGGGGCCTTAGGTTAAATTTCTCTTCCTCAATGAAATGGCCAAAATGCCTCCTAATAGAGGCCTATGATGCTTTTATAGGAGGGAAAAAGTGGGATTAACCAACCACTTTTATAGTCCTGATGTTATCCCTATGATTTCGATAGCTTAAGATGTCAAAATAAAGTTAGAATTCCCCAAAATTGAGACCTGGAAGGTTACCCGCGCCTAAGCACCCGATCCTTAAGTGTCTGGGCGCTAGTTTGGGTGCCAACCTTTCCAACTCTTGGGAAAGTGGCTATTTTTAGACTGTTTTGGGCGCCTAGTAGCCCGATATTAGCGCCTAGGAGCTCAAAAAGTATCAAAATCAAGTTCTAGAGCTCTGAAGGCTTGAACTTGATGATTTAAGAAGGAATTTCAGATGCATCAGCTCCCAGGGTCGACTCGTCTAGCCCGAAACCTTGATGTTTACCATGAGCACCCGACGAAGGATTTTCTTGATCTAGATGCTAT